TAGCTCTTAAATACTATCACATGAAATGATATCAAACTTAACTTACCTAGTTCGACTTTTATATAAAGACGTTACCCACCAACGTCTTGTTTCTTTTTTTTTCGCTTCTCTTTCAAGACGTTTAAAGCGGCGATGTAATAAGCCGCCGCCAACGCGGCAATGCGCTGTCGTCGACTTGGCATATTCGAACAGACTAACTACGCCACTGCAAGTTCGTTAAAAAAACAAGTATCCGCCACCTAAGATCGTGTATTGACACGTGTAGTGGGAACGAATGGCTCGGCTCGTCTTTTAACTCGCCAAGCCACGAGCCGAGCCATAGGATCGCCAAGCCTCGAGTAGTGGGAATCCGCCTTGAAAAAGACCAACTTCCATCTAATACAAATGTAAATAAGATGATCACTTGATTTGTTTACTGTCAAGATAACTAGTTTTCGGCTTGTACCACGTCGTTATAGGTGCTTCACACCCAACACCCTGAGGCTTTCTATACCTCTCTTGCCTTGTGAGCTATACCAAGGTCTTATAGGATTGCCATCGGCTCTAGATATTTGTGAGCTACATAGAGCTACATAGTCGAAGTTTGCCAAGCCTGACTGTTGAACGTGAAACCAAATTTTCTGATGTTTCGCAAGACATTGCAGCTTGCATCTTCAGAGAATAGGAATGTCAACTTCTGTTTATTGATGGGTGTTGGCTGTGAAGCACCTATAACGACGCGGTACAAGCCGAAAACTAGTTATCTTGACAGTTCGAGGAACCGCGAAAGCCTCAAAGCTTTTATTGATTTGTATCCAACAGTACTTTGAATATTTAAATACTCGTACATAAGTTTAGATAGATGTCAGTTCGTGGTGCTAGGCAATATTTTCAGTTCGTTAAAGTACTTTTTCCCAGACTCAAAACAGCCCGGTGAAGCGGCAATTACTAGATAGTATGAAATAAAATAATTTACTAAGCAACGAGTTATTACCAGATCTTCGTTTTTTTTGTGTTATTTCCATCTCCGTTGGGTCCGTAGTGCACATCTCAAGTCCCTCTGAATTGATCTCTGTGTGTTCTAAAAATTCATTCTCATTAGCATTGGATTCCAGTCGTCTCTTGCTTAATCCGGTATGCTGTTGTGATGTACTTGGTAAAGTCCTATGCAAATTAGAAGTGGAAGGGTAATCATCCGTGTTTACTGTATCCTCATCATCTCCACTGCTCTTATCGTCATCATCTGCAGTACACTGTATCATCTCAAGAACGTTGGACATGCGAACAATGTCTCTAGTTTCCACTGGCAATCTATATATTTTATTGTGAATATTTTCAGCATGTCCCATAAAATTGGCGACATCCTTAATTATATTGTCGTTAAGATCCATTACTGCACATTGGGTAGCAATTTGTTTTCGTAAAATAGTAACCCTTAGCAGGTGAGGTTCTGCTGCACCGCACAACGATGAAATGTGTCTCATGATTGGACAAGCACGCAAATAACGCTGTCGTGTGCCATCAGTGGACGGAAGGCCAAAAATATAAGGATTCTTAGCAGGCACACCTACACATTCACGATACTTGATAATGAGATCCAAGCAAAGTTCAATTTCCCAATGAACAAGCACTGGTACAGGTCGATTTAATTTTCCTCTAATTTCAAATCGTTTGTACGTACGACTTGCAGTCTTCTCACTAGAGGATAACTTGTTGTAGTCCACGATAAGTCCCTCCACACCCTGTAAGCTTTGATAGTCTCTGATGGTGATTCTCTCCAATTCTCCTGGACGCCGTCGATTAAATACTAATAAAGATATTAAAGTGTACGTTGCCACTGAGTTCCACACTTCAAATACAATGCCAGTATTATTTTGCACCATTCCCAGCAAAATTTTATAGCTTTCTCTGCGTTTCCTTCGGACGTATGATACTAACTTTGAGATATCAGACTTGGATGGTAGTGTAACTTTCTTTTGACGTTGGTGTTCCACTCTATTTTCAATTGCCGTTCGATTCACCTCAGCAGTATTGCACACAGTCAAGAGCGAGAGAAAATCTTCTGCGTCCTTCTTTCGATCAAGATCTCGCTTCTTCAGACATTCCACTTTCCATAAGTTTGCTGCATTCTTCAACAAAGTAGATAATGTGGTTGCAACAGTCGGTGCTCTGTAATGTGTGCCTTCAGGATTAAGACCTGCAACTAAGTTTATTGCCTCTACCACAACGTCATATTTTACAGGGGAAATCATAGATGCCATATCCGTTATTGTTCGGTCTAACGTCCGTGCCTGTAAAATTAATCTTCCCATAAGTCTGATCTTTGCGCGTATCATGTCATCAAAATGCTGATCTGCGTAATTTTTACAGTAGTTGTTTGCGATACATATGCCCAGTTCGTCGTATCTTACTACTGTCACACAATCATCTTGCCTTAAAACTGGAAAAATGCGTGTCTTGAGATTATGACAGGCTTTAGGGTGCAAATCTTGATATACAGCATTGGCAAGTGTAACAGTATTACGTTGTCCAGCAACAATTTTGGCTGAACAAAGTTTGTAGTGGCGGCGTAAATTGGCCTTAAAAAATTGACCATTGCATTGAGGACATGTCAATATTTTGGAGATAGTGGATGATGTTTGTACCACAGGTCGACGAGCCACAAGCATTGTTCCCGTGTTATGTTCTTTAGAGGTGTTGTGTTCAAAATCTCCTCTTCGTCTAAGTGTTTCCAATATCCTTTTTCTGTCTTTGCAGCCTATAAAAAAATTTGAGTTAGCAGTTAAAGTAAAAACTGGCGGACTATTTTGAATACAAACTTAAAATAGAAGGTATAGATTTCAAAAATAACCATATGAAATCCGATATTACAGAAAAATTAAAAAAAGTGGTAAAACCTTCGCAAGGAGAGGGACTTTACTTTCTTGATGAAATTCATTCATGTACAGGGTGGCCCATTAGTGCGTGGGTGGAAGATTGTGGGTTTATTAACGCACATATTTAAAATGCATTGTCAGGGTATGTTGAAGGACCCTTAAGACTACAACCTAAAAATATTTTCAACGAAATTGCAATTGTTTTATACAGGATGTTTTATATCAAAGTTGCATTTTTTAAATAGAACCCCCTGTATATTATTGCATATTGCAATTCCTTGGTCAATTTTAGTGTGACTTTATTTATATATCACACATGATATCTAAATTGAGTCCTTTAGCCGTAAATCGTCATTCTTTCAAAAAGGGGGTGTCCAGTAAAAAGAATATCGCAGTTACCATAAATCTTAGAAGGCCGTGACTATGCAATGTCACTACTAGTAATCATGAAAGGTACTAACATACGCCCAAAGGTCAAACTTAGACTTGCTGCGTATTAGGAGAAAACATTCTCTCAATTTTCAAAATTTCAATCAAAGGTAACTTTTTTTCATTGCTTAAAATGTAGATTTGATTACCTTTCTAACGATATAAGCATCTTAGTATTTACCTTCTACATATTTTTTTGTAATTCAACAATTTCTAATAATTTACAGTGTTTTTCGATTTTCAAAGCCTCTTAGTAATTAGTAGACCCTTAAAAATTATAAAACAAATTCAAATTATTAAACATTTACCCCAAACAAAACAAAACAAAAACTCAAAAACCACATAAACTCAAAACTTTTAAACAAAAATAACAATTATTTTTATAAATCTTCAAAATGTACCTAATATTGCAAAAAAATATGTACCAGGTAAATACCGACATAGTTATACCGTTAGAAAGGTAATCAAATTCTACAATTTATGCAATAAAAAAAAATTGGTAGTTCCATTTGAAAAAGTCAAGTTACCTTTGATTGAAATTTTTAAAATAGACACAGTGATTTCTCCGAACATGCAACAAGTCAAACTATGGTCGTTGGGCGTATGTTAGTACATTGCATAGTCACGGCCTTCTAAGTTTTATGGTAACTGCGATATTAAATTTTTACTGGACACCTTCTTTTTGAAAAAATGACAAATTACGGCTAAACGACTCATTTTAGGTACCATGTGTGATATATAAAGTCACACTAAAATTGACCAGGGCATCCAAATATGCAATAATATACAAGGAGTTCCATTTACAAAAATGTAACTTTGATATAAAACACCCTGTATAACAATTGTAATTTTGTTGAAAATATTTTTAGGTTGTAGCCTTAAGGGTCCTTCAACATACCCCAACTATGCATTTTAAATATGTCCGTTCATAAACCCACAATCTTCCACCCACGCACTAATGGGCCACCCTGTATATGTAAAAAGGTATATGTAAACATCAAGAATATTCTAGCGGTTGCAGGTATAAGCCACCCGCCACCCTCTCCTGTTCTGGGTCCTCAACAGACTTGCGCCCAACCCTCTCCTGTTCTGGGTCCTCAACAGACTTGCGCCCAATGACAGAGTGACCATCATAATGTTTTTAGAAATGCCCTATGGAGATCTTGTAAACCATAAGACACAAAGTCGCCTAAATGGGCAAAGTTATTCCGAATGTTATGCTTCAGGCATCAAGTACTTTCAATTGGGAAAACTGAAGTTTTAGACATTTTTTGATTGCTAAGAAAACCTGAAAATTCCGATTACTTCCGAAGATAATGCCAGAAAAACCTGAAATTTGCCGATTTTGATTTTATTTTTTCCGGATGTTATTTGAACAGATACACAAAAATTAAAAACACTTTCTCATTGCCACTTTTTAAGCTCTCCAAGATGGCGTTGAAAAATTTTTATTACAACGTTTCGGTTCGCAGAAACCATCATCAAGTTTATTTTTTTATATGAACCGCAAAAAAGTACATACTGTATTGCATAAGATAATGTTTATTAGACATTTCAAGACAAGAGCATTAGCAGTTTTTATGACGAATACAACGATGTACGGTACAAAAATGAAAAAAGTTTTCGCCCTAAGGCGAGTAACTATAGCGCATTTTCCATGCTCTGATCAGTACTTGTCAAAAAACTCTAGGTACGTGCGCTATGTTTTGCTGTGCTAGAAGCATGTATGGTAAAATTTCAAAGAAATATGTATATAATAAATGAAGAAATTGGAATTGCGCAGTCTCCTTATATGCACATCTGATTTTTATAATATGCGATTTGATTGTAGGTAAAATTAAAAAAAATAGCTCTATAAATAAGAAGGTTGGTATCGCAGTCTACGCATGCGCACATTTGATTGTTACAATATGCAATATGCTTGTCTTTAGCAAATGAGGTTAAAATTTCAAAGAAATAGCTCTATAAATAAGAAACTTCGCGTTGCGCAGTCTGCGCATGCGAAAATTGATTTTTACAATATGTGATATGTTAGCCTTTACTAGAAGCAACTGTGGTTAAAATTTCAAAGAAATAGTTCTATAAATAAGAAAGTTGGCATTGAGCAGGTCTGTGCATGCGCACATTTGATTTTCACAATATGCTAGAAGCAGCTGTGGTTAAAATTTTAAAGAAATAACTCTACCAATAATAAAGTTAATTTGCGCATGCGCAAATGAATCGTCAAGATTTTTCTTGGTTGAAGTGCCAGAGCTACAAGCAAAAAGAACGAACTCAATATCTTGAAAACTGTAGGAGTAGATGCGGCCTCGCACGGACGAACGGACGGAGAAAGTGGAGTGGCCATAATAGCGCCTTCCAACATAAGTTGGAAAATGCGCTAAAAAAACGAAAGTTGAAAACCCTGTTGATTCCAACAGGCTGGTGCACCGGCGCACAACGCCCTAAAAGTGTAAGAATATCTATCGGACAAATGTCCTGGAAAATGGAAAAATTTGTTCAATAGGTATTCTCGCACGATTTTGGCGTTGTGTGCAAGCGGACCAACAGACTTTTGTTTTTTTATACATTGTTGTATTCATCATAAAAATTCAATACAGAATGTCCTTTTTTTGCGGTCGACATAAAAAAATAAACTTGAAGATGGTTTCTCTGAACCGAAACGTTGTATTAAAAAGCTTTCACGCCATCTTGTAGAACTTAAAAAGTGGCAATGAAAAAGTGTTTTTAATTTTTTTGTATCTGTTCAAATAACATCAGAAAATAATAAAATCAAAATCGGCAAATTTCGGTTTTTCAGGCATAACTTCGGAAGTAATCGGATCTTTACTGCATGATAGTAACCTCCGAAGTGCGCAACTTTACATTAACATTAAATTGCTGGTCAACCCATTTCAAAACGCCCAGGCAGTGTTGCTCAACATTTTTTATTTTCCTGGTTTTTAGGTCATGTAGGCAATCACAAATTGCCACTTTAAAAAATTTTATAAACCATAGTTTTTCCTGGTCGCCATTCTTAAAATGGCGGTTTTGGAAATTTGATGGAAAAAAATGGTTTGCGGTAAGTGTAACTTCTAAGTTACTTTTTAAGAGACCACATCATTCAAAAACCAGTGTGTTCAGCAATAATAATCTTCAAATTACATTATTCTTATTTCCCTATCGTGCAAGAAAGTGAGTAAGAATCTTTCTCAAAAAAATAAAAAAAACGGCGAATCGTTAATTTTAAAACAATTAATTCTTGGGAAGGGGAAGAGACTCACTACTAATATATTATTTCTGTGTTGAGTACTTATAATACTAACTACAGCAAAAGTTTTAGTCTTGAGAATGACCAAAATCACGTAATTTCAATTTTCTTTGGTGAATAACTGAAAAAGGACTGAATGAAATCAAGTGAAAACTTTACCGAATGTTCTTGACACTAATGACAATATCTCACAAAAAGATTATGACTGAGACTACATTTAGAGTTATAGCGTCGTGAATTTCAATAAAAACTCTAAGTCTATACACTTGTGCAATGCCACATGAACAAGGTATTAACCCTTAACTGGTATCGTCGGGTCAAAATTGACCCGGCGCATTTTTAATTCATCACAGATTAAAGGCTTTTGTGGTTATGCGGTGGGGGTTCTGTGACTTCTCATACAATGTACTTATGCGCAGATACCTCAAGCCCTAGTTCAATTAAAGCATCGCAAGTGCCGACATCAGCGCGTTAGGGTCTGATTTGACCCGAGGATACCAGTTACGTGTGTGTTTTGAATTGATTTCGCTATGGATTTTCTTGTTATTGACGGTAAGAAATATACAGAAGAACAAGTACGTGAGCTATTTTTGAACGGTGAAGATGATGGCGACATTAGTGACACGCCTACCATCGACAGTAATCACGATTCAGAAGAAGAATATACCATAGACGATGATGCTGATGTTGCCGAAGTTGACGATCAAGCTGAACAAGTTCCTGTAGACGATTTGGATTTTCATGCTAGTGCAGAAAACAGTTCGGATTCAGATAGTTCTTCTGATTTACCGTTATCATCTGTAGGTTATGTTTATGGAAAGAATAGGTACAAATGGTCAAAACGAGCTCCTACACTTGGTCGCACCAGGCGCCATAATATTATTACGCATTTACCTGGACTAAAAGCAGCGGCAAGGAACCTGCAAGATAAGAACCCTGTCAACTACTGGTCTCTTCTCATAACCGATGAAATGATTAGCACAATTGTGGACTGCACGAATGAGAAAATTACGGATTTGTCCAGTACATATGGAGAAACAGCCTCGTTTGTGAATTTCACTGATTCAGTTGAGATGAAAGCATTTTTTGGTTTGCTCTATTTGACATCAGCATTCAAATCCAACCATGAAGACGTCGAAGGCTTATTTGCGTCAGACGGTACAGGTAGGGACATTTTCCGTGCTACGATGTCCCTAAAGAGGTTCATGTTTTTGTTAGTCGCATTGCGGTTTGACAGTATTTCTACCAGAAGCTTGAGAAAGACTGATAAATTTTGCCACATACGTGAAATCTTTGAGACATTCATACAGAACTGTCGAAATTGTTATACCCCTGGTGAGTCCCTTACAATAGACGAAATGCTTGTGGGCTTTAGAGGCCGATGTAGTTTTCGTGTTTACATGAAAAATAAACCGAACAAATATGGATTGAAAGTATTGTGCCTTTGTGATGCAAAGACTCACTATTTACTCAATGCTTTTGTTTATACAGGCAAATCACAAAACGTGCACCCTAATCCCAGAAAGCTATCAGTGCCAACCCTAAGTGTCTTATCACTAATTGATCCGGTCAAGAATACCAATAGAAATATCACCGCAGATAATTGGTTCACGTCAATAGAATTAGTTGAAGAATTGCGCAAAAACCAGCTCACTTATGTCGGCACGGTACGTAAAAATAAGAAAGAAATACCTCAATATATAGTTCCAAATAAAAGAACAGAACCAGGTACTTCTATGTTTGTGTTTACTAGCACTATAACTTTAGTGTCGTATGTTCCTAAGCCAAATAAATACGTTCTTTTATTGTCATCTATGCATCATGACAACAAAGTAGATGAAGGATCAAGCAAACCTGATATGATTCTATATTATAACTCTACAAAAGCAGGGGTTGATGCACTAGATCAGAAGTGTGCAAATTACAATACTGGTCGAAGAACCAGAAGATGGCCGTGTGCCATTTGGTATGCTGTTATGAATATAGCTTCAGTAAATTCCTTTATTCTGTTCCAATCTGGCACTGAAAGTTCTATGAGGCGACGGAATTTTATTATTCAATTAGGCCAAACTCTAATTGAAACACATATGAGAAGACGTTTATTGGAACCAAGACTTCCTAGAGAACTTCGTTCAGTCATGGAAAGACTCCTAAAATGCGAGGACACAGCAACGAGTGAAAGTACGCCGTCCATTTCTCAGCCCAGAGTTTCTGGATCTGATGCAGTTAGTAGGGGGAAAAAACGACGTAGGTGTTACATCTGTCCATCACAGAATGACAATAAACATGCTACAATGTGTAATAAGTGTAACCAGCACGTGTGTAAAATTCACAGCGCTGCGACATTGTTATGTGAAAAGTGCCAAATGTGAATGATAGGTTATGCAAACGTCATTGCACGTTTTTTTATACGAAAAGGTATTTGTTTTTTTGGTGTAGCATGTGAAGGCTAAATATGTTGTTTAATGGCCCTTATGTTAGTTTTTTTGATATGATCATGTTTCAGTTGAAAATTTGGAGATTATATTGCCTTACTCAATTTCAGATGCAGTATTTGTATTTATGGTCCTACAATAAAATGTTTTCATACAAAAGACTTTTATGCGTACAAACCTGTTGTATACATGCCAAAATTGGATTCAGTAATGATATTTCGAAATTTGGTGGTCACGGTCTTTTTAAAAACTATCGGGTCAGAATCGACCCGACGATACCAGTTATATATATAAAAATGACGATACCGGTTAAGGGTTAAATTTACGTGGAAGCCGAGGTGGAAACATTACACAAATTTTAACATGAAAGTTTAGATTGAAAGGTTAGAGAAGTAGGCAGGAGTAGTTAGCGGTGACTACTATCGGAGTAAAATGTAGAGTCCGTTCACTTTGAAGGCTCAAATCTCAAAATCGCAGGAGCCGATATTAATGAAATTTTTG